AACAACATACTATAAAAAAACGAACCGACAGGAAGTAGGTCTCTTTTCGCGAAGCTGGGACAGCAGGAGGAAGGGTGAGATTTTAGCTCTGAGCTCTGACTTCTCGGCTCTCTCTTTTACATTGTTTCTGTGTTTCTTATTTAATAAGACGGTTGGTTACATCTACATGTCACCACCACAAACTCACAGAGATTCACCTGCCTCTGCTTCCCAAGTGCTGGGAGTAAAGGTGTGCCACCACTACCTGGCTGACCTTGGATTCTTGACCCTCCTGCTTCCTGGGCCTTCTGAATGCTAGGATTGCTGGTATGCTCCACTATACCTGGTTTGTGTGGTGCTGAAGATTGAGCCAGAACTTTGTGTATGGTAGGCAATCGTTCTACACACTGAGCTCAGCTTTAGCTCCCATCAAAAAATATTTTTTTCCCCCAGTATTTTAGATGATTCTTGGTAAAGGAAGGGTAACTGGCTTAGTCCAGTAGTTGCCTAACATTTTGCCCAGCATATACAAGGCTTGGATTTGTATCCAGCACTGAAAAGGACAGAAAGCTGGATGAAGATTTTCCTTGAACAGGATAATTACTTCACGTGGCTCTCTCTTTTTTTAAAATACAGATGTCTTGAATACCCTTAATAACACTATCTCATCAAGAGCTGAAGGAATATTTCTAAGACTTAATGCCAGGATTGTGATGAAAGTTAAGATTAGAATTAACTGGAAGTAGGGCTGGGTTGTAGTTTAGTGGTAGAACACCTATAAGAAAGAATTAAGTGGAAGTGTTTTCTGCAGACACTACTTACCCTTTGTGCAACCAAACATTTAGTATGCATCTGTCATTGAGTTTTTAGCCTTAATAAGTTACTCTGAAACATATAAAATACAGCTCAGAAATCATTATTTCAAGATAGACTTGTAAGTTCTTTTTAACACTCTTAATATTTCCCAATTTTGAAATTTCAACTAAAAAGGCCAAGATTTAATGTGTAGTTAGATTAGCCATAAACTTCCAAATTGGGCTTGTTGGTGACATAATGTAAATGGGCAGTCAATCCTCATTCATACCCAGAAGACAGGCTAGTACAGAGAATTGTATAGTTTTGTTTGTTTTTAAATTGTCTTGCAAAATTTCAAACTCTGTTAGTGGATTATTTTCAGAACAGTAATTATGTAGTGAGGATTTGAATATCTTTTAATGTTAGGCATTGATGCATTTCAAGATAGGTGTAAAAAGATTGGGACCCTTGACCTTTACGTTTGTAAAAAACCCCTCAACTTTTTCCTCTGAAAACCAGGATGACACTGTATATTCTATGCATGTAAGAGTTATCATTAAAGTTGGATGGTATATCCCAGTGGAGTTTCTGAGTTGTAAAGTGCAATAGACATGCAAAGATTTGAGTGTGGCTTAGTTAAATTTTATCTCCTAAACCATATAAGTCATTTTTTCTTTCATATTGAATCTTTTTGTTTTTAGTCAAGCTGAGTTAATCTTGTTTTCTAGATTTTAATTTTGTGTCAGTGAGCAATCCATGAAGTGCCAACATGGGAAAGAAACGAACAAAGGGGAAAAGTATTCCAGTTAAGGCTTCCTCTGAATCTGCAGGTATATTTTACCATTTGTTGTTAAAGCCTGTTACTATACATCAATGAATTTTCTGTTAAATTTATTTTTATGTGTACTATGTAAGTTGGAGTTTCTCTGTGTCTCTGCAACCACTCTCAAATAACCATTCAGAGACTTATTAAGTATAAATGTTCAGCCAATAGCTCAGGCTTGTTACTAGCTAACTCTTAGCTGAGGACTGAACCCAGGGCCTTGCGCTTTCTAGGCAAGCGCTCTACCACTGAGCTAAATAAATCCCCAACCCATTACTAGCTAATTCTTCCATTTCAGATTAACCCATATTTCTTATCTATGCACTGTCATGTGACTCAATAACATTTTTTCAATATGACAAGTTCA